CCAAAGTGCTGCTCATAGGGGTCATATGATTGTTGTAGGGTCTACCGTACAATATAAAGCACCTTGAGGCGACTCTTGTTGTGATTTGGCGCTGTGTAAATAAAACTGAATGAACTGAACTTGTTGGATGGAGCTGACACTGCTGCCTGTGGCGTTGAGCTAAAGTACAGCCCAGCTCTGGTTCCACATCAGCTGATATCTCCTCAACACAATACGCTGATTTGTATTTTTAAATAAGCTTTTCTGCAGTTTGAAGCTGACATAATGTGCAGCAGAACAAAATCTGATTAGTTGAAATGTGTCATGTGATTTTTGGGTCGTGTACAGGTGTCTGTGACCTGAGCTGTCGACGTCGTTCTTAATAAACGCTCGTCTTCTTCTGTGGTGTGTTTTTGTGTCAGGACAACCACAAGCTGAGCTACATCCAGCAGCTGCGGCCCACTCAGACGGTGCAGCCCCGGATCAAACTCAAGCTCTTCGGACACTCGGGAGCCGGGAAGAGCACGCTGCTGGAGTCTCTGAAGTGCGGCATCCTGCGCAGCTTCTTCAGGAGGAGGAGGACGCGCATGACCAACGCGGCCCGGCACCCCAACTCGCCCGTCAACTCCAAACCTCCCGGTAGGTGACAGACAGGTGGAGTCGCGTCGTCACCGGCGCAGCGGTTAGCACCGCCCCCTCACAGCAAGAAGACCCTGAGTTTGTGCAGGTGCAGACAGGTGTGTGTCACCTGGTGACAGCTCTGAAAGGCTCCACCCCCTCCAATCACCCTTCTGCTACACATGCGAATGTTGGTTGGGAAAAGCAAAGAAAGACACACAGAGAGCAGTTAATCAGAGGAGGCGTCTCCCTCGCACGTTTCTGTCTCAGGAAACTTCAGCACGACTCATTTTATTAAATGTCAGGTTTTATCCACGTTGTAGACGCAGCTGCTGCTCTGATGTGAGTGTGAACATGAGCCCTGACAGTCTCGTACTGTGATGCAGTTTGAATCTCACAGGGTGAAATTAATAATAATCCTCTGGATTAAGTGATAGATGTAGATGAACAACTGTCTGCAGAGGGAAACGGTTCAGGTGCTGCTCTGAGGCTCGGATATCTTGAGGTCTGTGAGGTGTTCGTGGTTTTCAGGAAAGTGCAGTGACGACGTGTTCAGTGTCTGCCCTCCTCTCCCCTTTAGCTGCTCTGTTATGCGCCACATGCAGCCATTACGTGACGCCCGGGCTGATAACGGTCAGGTGCGTGAGCCGACTCCTCCATCTGTGAGGCTGCCGGCGTCTC